TTTTTTTTTTTGGTAACAGCAAAGTACGGAGGAGAACACATACGAAATGGGTTCACAGGGGATGCCAACCGCACCGCCCTCCATTGACAATGTCTCGTATCAGTCCGTCACACGCTCCAATGCGCAGCCCATTTCTATGGAAACGAGCACGCGAAGCAGCAGGATCTTCTTCAACAACAGTATCAGCGAGAACAGCAGAAATAAGAATGAAAATGACTCCATATCGCACCAAGACAGTAAAGGTTTCTCCTGGAACCCATACAAGAGGCTTCAGGTAGATACCGTTGTCGAGTCGACAGAGTCTTCGCACCAGAGACCCAAAGAGGCATTGCCTTCGGCTACCTCCTCTTCCCTCCTTTGTTGTTGTTGTTGCTGCTCTCACTGTCAAGCACACTCCCCCGTTATGGCATTGCCGTGGCGAGGCTGTGTGAATGGCACGAGTGGTGTGGAGTCCGCCTCCACCTTCAACTTCACGGGACACAGATCACGTGCTGTTGCCCAACGGAGATCTGCGTTCTGCGTGCACCCACCGCCTGTTGCGCAGGTCTGGGTAAACGGTGGCACAATCAGCGAGGACTCGTCCAGTGGGAGTACACCAAAATCATTAATGCTGGAGGAAATGCTGCGGGACTTTCGGGAGCGGCTTCGTTACCCAAGACCACTCCCACACTGTCTATAGGTGGGGTGAGTATAGGCGGTACCAGCAACAAATTCATCCGATGCGCCATTGGTATCCCTATACATATCAGCAGTAAGAGTAAGAGAGAGGGTGGCACACCTCTCATGTGGTTCCTNTTCAACAACAGTATCAGCGAGAACAGCAGAAATAAGAATGAAAATGACTCCATATCGCACCAAGACAGTAAAGGTTTCTCCTGGAACCCATACAAGAGGCTTCAGGTAGATACCGTTGTCGAGTCGACAGAGTCTTCGCAGCTGAACCGCGATAAGTTATTGCCTTCGGCTACCTCCTCAACGCAGGAGTCGCCAGCGCTCACATCGGGTGCCTATGGTTGCGATGAGACCCCGCTCTCTCAGCCACGCCCAATCATGTCGCCTCAGTCTCCTTCTATGTTGACCTTGCACTTACCACCTTCGGCGAGTCTATTGTACAAGGATGATGACTACATGTGTAGGGCAAGTTCAGGCTCTTTGTTTGATGGTTCTCAGTGGAGTGCACACATGTGCTTGACATCATCATCTCTCAGTAGGGGATTCCCTAGTGGGCCAGTAAACTTTGAAGATTCATTCGATATGAGCGCACGAAGTGTGTATGGAATGGGTGAACCGCGGCAGCAGCAGCATCGACAGCATCGACCGCATCAACCATATGCTGTACAACCACTTCCTTACCATGGCCAAAGAAGTCGAAGTGTCTTGTCACCTCTAGGTACTATCGGTTCTTTGCAATCAGGGATCACCTGTGGTTTGAATGGTGACAGAAATGTGTCAACTCTCTCAGCATCCATATCGCATGATCTGTCGAAGTGTGTTCTTCGTTTTAAGAAAATGATCCCACCACCACTTCGTTATAATGAAGCACTGGGAGTGTTAGAGGATGATAACGGGAATCACCCCAATGATGTCGTGGAGATTGTGAAGGAAGTGATGTGTCGCTGGTACGTTCGTATTCAATCATTAAAGAATGATCTCTTCGTTCCTCGTGAACACCCCAGTGTTGTGGGTACACATGGAAATAACAGCAGCATCAACCGAAACAGACGTGTACGTCCTGGACTTGAGGAGTGGTGTCCCGAACCACCGCAGAAAAATGAACAGGGAAACGATGCGTTTCGTGAGTGGGCGCTGAGGTGTAATGCTTGGTGGGAAAAGGCATTTGGAGAGAAGACACGCATGGTAAGCCGAAGTCGGGGCGGTCGGGGAAAAGGGAATCGGCAGCACTACCACAGCCAGTACCCGTACAACAACACATCCTTTAATGATAACAACAGTGGCAGTTCTCATAACGGTAATAACGCCAACACCACCAACAATAATAACATCCATGGTGGTGGTATCTGAGGTGGCGCAGCTTCCTCTCGTAATAGTGGACGTCCTTACGGGGGTAATGGTTGTCTTCTCCCACGAGGAGAATGGCGGGCTTTTGCTCTTGTTTGCTGCACCTCTAATTCCCTCACTTAATTGCCACATCCTTGCAGTAAGGCATTCTCTCTTAACGGTAAGTGATTCCCCTCACCCGCCTGTAGTATGGTTCACTTGCTGATCCTTTCTATTTTCGTTTATTTATAAGGAGTTTACGTTTCAAAGATGAGCATGAAATATTCATTTTTTTTTTTTTTAGTTTTCTTTTGTTTTGTTTCTTTTTTTTCTTCTTTTCTTTTTTTTTTTCCTTATACGTCTCCTTTCTTTCATTCTCGCATTATCCATTTGTGATTCTGCGTGTATTGTTTTCTGTAAATTTTTTTTTTTTGCTGTTTTACTTTCCTCTTTGCAAGAGAAATCGGTAGCAACGCACTGGGGTTAGGAGTAATTTTTTTTATGGATGTGAAAGAATGGAAAAACTCAATGTTGCTAATAAACGTGTATCCGTATATATATATATATATATACTTATATATGGATATTTCATAAAGAATATTTTGTAAAGAGGTTTCTTTTGTGAGTGTGTGTGTATGTGTGATCACAAGACACTAGTAAGTGAAAGTCAGTTATCCTTTTTTGTTTCTTTCTTAAAGTGAGCGTTTTTTGTTTTTGTTTTTGTTTCTTTTCTTTCTTTTTTCCTACTTATCTATTAATATATATATATATGTATGTATGTGTGTGTGTGTGTATGTATATGGGCATGTGTATGTCTTCTTTCGGTAATGTGTGTGTTTAAATAAATATTTAATAAAAAAGAGTGTCGTTTCCTTTGCTTTGTTTTCTCACATTTCAGGCTATTCTGCACATAGGTATATATATATATATATATATATATATATATATATATATATATATATATATATCCTCCCGTATGTATGATGTATGTATGCACAGTTGGACATCCTCAATCTTGAGAGAGGAATGAAAAGCAAAGAAAAGGCTTTCGAAGAAACGTTTTGGTTCTAAAGAATTGACACTGGATTTAAAATGAGGATCAAAGAAAAATAAGCAAACATTTTGATATTGTTTTGTTTTTGTTTTTTGTTTTTTGTTTTTTTTGCTTCAACGCGTCTTTGCTGGTGTGATTGGCGAAATAATAATATTACTGGGCCCTCGTATACATTCTTTTTTTTTTTTTTAACTTTGGCGTAATTTTGAGGAGTGGGAGAAAAAAAAAATGTTTGCTTTTTACGCTGATTGGAACACCCTGTTATTATTATTATTATTATTATTATTATTATTATTCATTTTATTTAGTTTTTTTTTTTTTTCTGTGCTTTTGTTTTTTGTTTGTTTCTTGCTTTTTCTTACCCAAACATCCCACCACGAGGTCGTCACACGGCCCTATGTATACACATACATATATACTCAATTTCGTTAATGAATTTTTTTTTCTTACTGTTTCCGCGCGTGTTTTTTTTTTTTTCTTTTTTTTTTATACACCCTTTTTTTTCATTTCCCTCTTTATTGTGTTTTCTTTTCTTTTAACATCATTATCAACATTCATTATGTTTATTATTATTATTATTATTATTATTATTATTATTATTATTATTTTCTTGCTATTATCATCTCGGTATGATACTGTGTATACCATCCGACGTCGGTGTGGACATTGGTTCCCACAAAAAAAAAGGGAAATAATAACATTGTAGCACGAGAAGGGAAAATAAATTTTATTTTTAAAGAAAAAGAAAGAAAAAAGAAAAGAAAAAGTGCGTGATAGAAGAAGGGAGTTTTTATTTCTGTGTTAACTTCTCTATCCGAAAACTATACAGTTAAGAAAAAAAAAAAAAAGGAGGTATATAATTCTGGTTGCGTTTTATATGCGTCTACAGGAGGAAGAGAGCACATAGGAAGAACTTCAAAAGGGAAGTAAAAGGAAGGAAAAGGGCGGGGGGAAAGAAAAAGGCAAAAAAAAAAAAAGATTTTTAATTATTATTTTGCTTTCTCTTGTGTTTATCTCTGTGTGTGTGTGTGTGTGTGTTTTTTCTTTTTCTTTTTTTTTGTTCTTTTGGGTTTTCTCGCATCGGTTAGCTGAGCTACTTTGTTTTCTTTTTTTTTTTTTATTTCTTTGCGTTGTGTGCGGTGGGGCGCTACGGGTATTGGGAATGTCCTCTGTTCTCCACCCCAAGAAGCACACACATACACAGAGAGAGAGAGTGTGTGTGAGAATGTGATGGGGGAAAAAGAATAAATATTATATATATATATATATATATATATATAATTTAAGATAGGGAAAGCAAAAAGCAAATATATATATATATATATATATATATATATAATCTAATGTAATATGTATGTATATATATACATACATAATATTGAATATCATTTCCGGATTTTTTTTCTGAGTATATATATATATATATATATATACTTTTTGTAGTTTTTTGATATACTTCTTATGTAACCCCTTTAATTATCTCTCTCAATTGCAATACTGTCATTCATTCATTCTCTTTTCTTTTCTTTTTTTTTTCTATTGATATTCGTGTTATTAATAATAGTATAGTAAAACCGTATACGTATCTATTTACGTATACAGGTAGCTTTATTGGTAAGGTTCAGGCGAAGGCAAGTCTGGGGCCAGAAAAAAAAAAAAAAACACACAAGAGAATACATTAGTCAAGGCCACTCTAGTAGTATTTGGAAAACGAAGACCGTTAGGAAACGGACATAAAAAAAAAAAAAGAGAATTTTAAGAAGAAGGAAGTAAAGAGTGAACGGATCTCTTTGTTTTTCTCTAAACTTGATTTTGTTTCTTTGGCACGCATACTTGGTGAACCCTTTCATTTTGTTTTCGTGATTTGCTGGTACTCTCTTGCTATTGTTACTACTTCCCAGTTTTCTTTTTTTTTTGTTTGTTTCCTTTTTCCTCCTTTGCGTGAGAAATAGTTAGAGGAGAGAGACCTCTTCCTTTGCATCCGCTGTTGCATTTTTCTTTTTTTCTACATTCTAAAGGGAAAGGGGAGCGAAAAAAAAAAAAAGGAATATTCGTTGATCTGTCAATAGGGAAGGGAACAAAGAAAAGTGGGGGAGTGCGAACTGAAGCTCATACGTACTTGAATACTCACGATTCTCGTTATTTAAGATAAAAAGTCTCTTTAAAGAAACGAAAAAAAAAAGAAATATATTTAAAGAGAGAAACAGAGAAAAAAAAAAAACGAAAGTAAAGGAGGGATTAAAGGGAAGAAAGGGGGAAAAGAAAGAAAAAAAAAGGGAGGGAAAAGAAGCCGGAGACCCGAGTGTTTTGCGCTTATTTGTATTTATCTACATTTAATATAAATCGTAGTGAGCTTGGCCGATTTCCATACCTGTGTGACGGCTGTACATATTGCCTGTATACGTATTATACACACATATATATATATATATATATATATATATTATATATTATATAGGCATATATAATTCGAAATTCGAATTTTTAGTAGAAAAACTATACACATACGCGTGTTTATAGCTTTTCCCATCCAGAAAAGGAGGCGAAGAGCGAATTGAAGTTTTACACCGGAAAAAAAAAAGAAAGGAAATAAGAAAAAACGCAGAACTGCTGTTTCTTGTCTCAGTTTGAGTCCTCATACACACTTTTCTATTCTTTTTCAACTTATCTGTGTGTGGGGAGGAAGGGCGTCTCGATCTCTTTCCTTTTTTATATATTTGCTTTCTTACTTTTTTTTCTTTATTGGTGACTTGCTGTGGGGTGTTTTTTTTTTTTTTTTTGCCTTTTTTCCCCTTTTGCTCGATTATTGATTTTTTTTTTTTCTTTCTTAGTTCCACGTTTGTTTGTTTTTTGTCTTTTTCTTTTCGCTTCGTGGACTCTTGGTACATTGTTTTTTGTTTTTTTCTTACCAAACTCAGCGCGCGTTCCGTTGCTTTCGTTCGGCACAGGGACGCGCGTCCATTCTCGTTTCCTCTTTCCCTATTTATCCCACCCGCATCCAGCAGAAGTTACGCTGACTTCTTCACTTAGTTTCTTTCCGTCAGCGTATTTAACTTGCTTTTTTTTTCGTATTCTGCTTGTGTGAGTGTGAGTGAGTGATTTTTTTTTTTGTCTATCTATCTATCTATCTATCTATCTATCTATCTGTGTGTGTGTGTGTGATTCTGTGTGTTTATTGTCTTTGTTTGTCTGCCTGCCTGCCTGCCTGCCTCTCTGTGTGATTCTGTGCCGGCTTGATTGATTAATTTATTTATTAATTTATTAATTAATTGCTGTTGTATCTCTCTCTCGCTTGTGGCTGCTTCGCCCTACGTGTGGAATATAATGCTTGTGGAACCCGGCGGCAACGTGACGACGAATGGCGGGGCGGCGCCGGGCGGCAGCAGTGCGGCTGTAGTCTTGACGACCGCCGCTGCTGCCACGATGGCGATGGGAAGTGGAAATGTGAATGGAAATGTGTGTTTGTGTGGGGCTGGGAGTGAGAATAATGCAGCCTTGTTGGTGAATACACCGTCCTTGTCGGATTTCATTGTGGGAGGCGGCAATGGGAGTAACAGTCCCGCCCGGGGAAGAGCGATGGGGAAACCTTTTCTCATTCCACACACTACTGCCGCTTCTTCTTCTTCTTCTGCTGCGGCTGCGGCTGCGGCTACTGCTGGTGTTGGTGGATGGCCAGTAGTGGATCACCCACCACTGCTGCAACCACAACATCCAATCCAACAACTACCACCTCCTCCTCCTCCTCCACCGCCAACAACAACAACAACAACAACGACAGCAGGTATAGGTATAGGTATAAGTACAGGTACAACAGGGGGACAGTACTTTTCTTCCTTTGATGATGTACGTTACACGCACTCGAACAGTAAAGCTAACGGTCTCAGTGGTAGTACGGTATTTATAAACACGCCATTATCGCCGTACAAGACATCCATGGTGCACTTTGCTGCAGGAACAGGTGGGTCTGTTGGGTCTGGTGCGCGGAGTGGTATCTTTTCTATTATTGGAACAACAGACTTCAACAGTGGTTCAAACAATTCAAATGGTACCAATCCTGTAGGATGTGCCTCATCTTACTTTAGTGATACCACCAATTCCCCTGGTTTGTCACACCGTATGATGAGTCTCAGTGTTACGGGTAATGGTAGCACAAGTACATTAATGGGTACACCCCCTAGTATGACTGGTATCAATCCCACAACAACGGCAAACAGTACGAATATCAATACCAATACCACCAGTATTGCTGCGGCTTCTGGTACTACTATTACTACTCCTACTTCTGCCCCACCTACTATTGTAACTAATAATACTAATAATAATAATAATACTAATGGTATTAATGCTACTGTTACAACTAATACTACTTCTAATGCTACTACAAATACAAATGTGGATACAAATCTGGGATTGAGAAATGAATTATTGCGGATGAGTATGTCACTGGAATTACCATCATGGTCTCCGCATGCTACAGCAGGAATGGTTGGTGGACCTTCTCCCGTCTTCTTTACATCCGTCGATGGCGCACTGCGGCTGAAAGTACACCCATTGCGATTTAAAATGCTCCCGTCACCCGTGCCATATGAGATGGTCTTCCCCCCATCACCACCCACCCATCAACAACAACAACAACAACACACATCACTATCATCATCATCATCAACAACTACAACCACCACTACAACAACAACAACAGCAACAGCAACAAGAAACCCGTCACCTCAACGCCTCGCACATTATCAAGCTATTATGTTGCGATGGTACAGTCGTATCCTTATTGCACAGGAGAACGTTCGCGCCCGCATCCGTCAACGCTGCCCACCACCACCAGAGAGCATTCTGCAGCACATGGCCACCGTATCCAACAATGCTGCCTCCACTACGGGCACAACAACAACAACAGCAGCAGCAGCAGTGACCACACCTATTACTGCCGATCCGGTGGAATTGCAGAACTGGTCCATTCAATGCTACCGTTGGTGGGATGAGACATCACGTAAGCGCACACGTCGTGGACACCGCGGTGGGAAAGCACCAGCAGGCGGGAATGTCGCCAGAGTCGCCCTACTACAGCAACAACAACAACAACAACAGCAGCAGGAAGCACATTCACTACCGTATCATCCACGCCAAGAGCAAATATCAACTGATAGACAGCCACTACAATCAGCAGCAGCAGCAGGAGGAGGAGGAGTATTGCAGTCACATTCAACTTCTCGTGATATCCCTGGGGATGCCGGCGAACGTGCGGCGGGATCGTACGCGTTGCCGTACACTGCCTCCCACACACGGAGCACACACCACGACGATGATATTGAAAAGTCACTCCATCGATGGGTTGAAGATATTTTGGACGATGAGTGATATGTCTCTTTGTGTGTATATCTCTTTCTGTGTTTTTCTGCAGAAAGAAGAGACATAGTGAAAGAGAGAGAGAGAGAGAGAG